ACAAAAAAAAAAAAAAAAAAAAAAAAAAAAAAAAGAGAGAGAGAGAAATAGAGGAAAGACCAAAAGAATGGAAAAGTTGGAGAAGAAGAGACGGCAAGATGTTAACAGGAAAAGGGAAAGGGCAGGAGGAGGAAGGGAAAAGTGAGAGGATGAATCAAGGATGAGCTGCTTCTTGTTTGGCAGAGTTGAACCTCCCCAGACAAAACCAGACTCTGGATAAAGTATAACGACAGCCATCCGAAAGCTCTGGAGGGTGAACAAAGCCACCATGGAGGCAACTGAAACTGGGTAAAAGGACTGGCATGGGGTGGCTCCCTGTTTTTGTGGCTGTGGCCTGAAGGCAGGCTGCCAATATGGTGAGGCTGGAGTGGCTGAAGCTCTGATAGAAAATGGGCATCTTTCTGGCCTAAACAGCCAGAGGATAGAGCTGGGGCAGAATGTGAAGGTCAATATCCACCCCATGGAGAAAGCTGGGGAAAGGGAGCTCCAGTTGTGTGTAATTGGACCTACTCAGTCTAATCAAGTTAAATGCATGCTAAAACAGCATTCTGTGAAGGTTTATAATAGAATCCAGAGTCTCTACAACAGAACATTCACAATGTTCAAAATATAATCCAAAATTACTTGACACACAAAGAATCAGGAAAATGTGACTCATTCTGAAGCTTCAGGAAAAGACAATCAACAGAGATCAACCCAGAGAAGACCACAGATGTTGTAATTAATTACAACAGGACTGTAAAACAGTTATTATAACTATATCAATGATGTAAAGGAAAAGATGCTTGCAATTAATGAGAGAAAAGGAAATCTCAGCAGAAACATAGAAAATCTATTTTAAAACCCACTGAAAATTTTATAGCTGAAAAACACAATCTCTGGACTAAAAAACTCACTGGATGGGCTTAATAGCTGAATGGAGTCAGTGACCTTGAAGACAGGTCAATAGAAACAATCTGATCTGAAGAAAAGAGAAGAAAAAAAGTGAAAAAACCTCCCAGATTCTCAAAGACTTATGGGACAGTATCACTACTGTATGTGTAATTGAAATCAAGAAAGAGAGGAGCGAATGAGCAGAAAAGACTCTTAAGAAATAATGATTGAAAACTTCCTAAAGTTGGTGATAAACATAAACGTAAATGTTCAAGGAGTTCAGCCAAACTTAACAGGATAAATAAGAAGAAAACCATATGCCAAGTCACGTTATAGTCAATCTGCTAAAAAAGGAGAAAATCTTAGAAGTGGCCAGAGAAAAATGACACATTTCCTAGAGATGAACTTTTTTACTATGAACTTTTCATCAGAAACTAGGAAGGCCAGAAGACACCAGAACAACATCTGTAAGGTGCGGAAAAAACAAACAAACAAACAAACTACTGTCAAGCCAGAATTCTATATCTAGCGAAAATATTCTTCAAGAATGAAGGGTGGGAATTCCCTGGTGGTCCAGTGGTTAGGACTCTGTGCTTCCACTGCAGGGGGCACAGGTTCGATTCCTGGTCAGGAACTAAGATCCCGCAAGCCATGTGGCATGGCCAAAAATAAGTAAATAAAAATAAATAGAGAAAAACAGAAAAGAAATCTGAGGGGAAGAGAGAACATTTTAAAACAACGGATGAAGGCAAAGTAAAGACATTTTCAGATAAAAGAGAAAGAAGCAAGAAGAGAAGGAAAGAAAACAAATGAGGTGGAGAAGAAAAAACAGATTTTTAAAAGTTTTCTAATGTTATGCTCTGCAGGGGTCCTGCAAGAATTCAAGGCATTGGAGACAGGTTTCCAGGCTCCTGTATGGAAGCAACTAGATCTTACAGAAATTCTTTTGTGCGTTATCTCATCTAGGTGCCCTGATATTTAATTTTATGCATCACTCAGGGTCTAACTGTCAGAGTCATCAGTCAGTCTGGTGCTTATGGTCTAAAACCATTACCTGAATTGTTGCATCCTTGTCAGGCCTAAATGCTGATTCTTCATCCACCAGCAGCAAAATACTATGAATTAAGGGAGGAGATGTGTTCTGAAATAAGAAATACTGATTAGCTTTCTAATTTTTAACTTCATTGAGTTAATAAAATTGTCCAATTTTTATTGGTTCTATTTTGGTATGTTCCAAAGGTTCCTAAAATGCATAAAATGTAGTTGCCTTTGCTGTGAATATAAATGATTTGCCCTTATGAATTTTAAGGTAATCAGGTTTATTGATTATAATTAACAGGATAAATTCACCCTTTTTGGTGTACAGTTCTCTAAGTTTTGACATAACTTATAGTCATGTAACCACCAGCACAATGAAGATATAAGACAGTTTAGCATCCCGCACATTTCTTCATGTGCCTTGTAGTCCAGCTCCACAGTCCCTGGCAATCACCCATCTGTTTTCTGTCTCAGTAAACTGCCTTTCCATATATCGCATGAGCGGATTCATGCAGTGCAGTATCGGCTTCTCTCACTTAGCACACTGCCCTGAGATGCATCCCCATTGCTGGGAGGTCAGTAGCTCATGCCTCTCACTGCTCATCATGTTACCTCGACTGCAGGCACCACAGTCTTGTCGTTCCCTGAGCAAATGAAGGACATGTATGTTGTTTCCAGTTTCTGGCAATCATAAACAAAGCCTGTAAACACTGAGTTTTCATTTCTTTTGTGTAAATATCCAGCCATTGATTTGCCGGGTGCTATGGTTAAGTGTATGTTTAGCTTGTGACTAACAGCCAAATAGTCTTCCCGAGAGGCTACACTGTCCTGCATCCCACCAGCAACACCACAGTCTTGTTCTTGTCAAGTTTGTGGTTGTAGTTGTATGTGTGATCTCATTTTGGCTTTAATTTGCATTTCTCCAGTGACTAAAGACGTTGAACATATTTTTTTCTTTTCTTTAGCGGTACGTGGGCCTCTCACTGCTGTGGCCTCTCCCGTTGCGGAGCACAGGCTCCGGACGCGCAGGCCGAGCGGACATGGCTCTCGGGCCCAGCCGCTCCGCAGCATGTGGGATCTTCCTGGACCGAGGCACGAACCCTTGTCCCCCGCATCGGCAGGCGGACTCTCAACCACTGCGCCACCAGGGAAGCCCTGAACATATTTTTATGTGCCTATTTCCTGTTCATAAATTTTTTTTTGGTAAAGTCTGTTCAAATATTTTGCCCATATTTTACTGGACTTTTTTTTTCTTACTATTGAGTTCTGAGACTTTATATATTCTGGTTACAAGTCTTTTATCAGATACGTGTTTTGTAAACATTTTATCACAGTCTTGGCTTTGTATTTTCATTTTAGTAACAATGTCTTTTGAGGAGAAGTTTTAAATTTGGATGAAGCTCAATTTATCATTTTTTTCTTTTATGGATTACGCTGTTGGGGTCAGAGCTAAGTTGACTAAACCAAGGTCATGAAGAAGATTTTCTATGTTTTCTTCTGGTTGTTTTGCAGTTTTAGATTTTACATGTAGGTCTAAGATCCATTTTCAGTTAATTTTTATATATCATATGAAGTATGTATTGAATACTTCCTTTTTTTCTTTTCTTTTGCACACAGATGTCCAATTGCTCCAACTCTATTGGTTGAAAAAAATCTTATTTTTAAAAAGTGTTGTTTATGACTTTAATCAAACTCCTGTTTCCGTTTGTTAGATTACACTGAGGCCAGATCATTCAGCAATAAAATGCTTTTATTTACCCGGTGTTTCTTCATTCATATTCCCTAAGGCTTTACTTTTTAATACTTTCTTATAGTGATAAACACATTTTACATTTTTTACATTTACATTTACATTTTTACATTTACATTACATTTTTTGTAATCCCCTATTTTGAAATGAATTTACTGGATGGGCCTCAGGACTAACTGATATCTTATCTGTTTTAAGTTCATCCTATGTACTTATATTTTTGTTAAGTGGCTTCTTGTGGATGACACTCTGTAAATATCTGTTGAATGAATAAGCCATAAAAAAGCCATAGAAAAGAACAATCTTGTTTTCCTATTTTAGAGCCATATTCTATTTCTCTTACTCAGTTTAGCTAAAATTTTGAGTTATCATGCATTCAAACTACAAACAGTTTGGAAAAGTGTTTTATATTTTTTATATATTCCTATTTGAGTGAATTTTTACTATTAGGATTTGTTACTATTCCAAAGAGAATTAATGTTAATTCTCAGATAAGAGAGAACAGTTAATGATTTATGACAATTACCATGTTAATAAGGTAACAGTTACCTGCTGTGAGTGGGGTAAGGGATGCGCAAAGTCTCAGGAGTTTCTTCCACCAAGGGAAAAAAATCACTATTCCCTTTTCAAAATGGAAAGCTTTTTATGGTATCTGAACTTTAATAATTTAACAAGTATGAAGCATACTTACTTGAGGTAGATGTGAAGAACAGCTGAAATTTTTTGCCCTTTGTAAAAATATTTAAGTACTTTTATACATCCCTCAAAATTTAAATTGAATATGGACACATGATCCTTAAATTCCAGCTCATTTCCATTCCTCTCATTTGGATCGGAAATCTTTTTTTTTTTTTTTTCTTGCGTTATGCGGGCCTCTCACTGTTGTGGCCTCTCCCATTTGCGGAGCACAGGCTCCGGACGCGCAGGCCCAGCGGCCATGGCTCACGGGCCCAGCCGCTCCGCGGCACGCGGGATCCTCCCGAAACGGGGCACGAACCCGCGTCTCCTGCATCGGCAGGCGGACTCTCAAGCACCGCGCCACCAGGGAAGCCCCCTGGATCGGAAATCTTGCTGTCAGCTGAGCCAAAAACAGGGCAGGGGTTTGCAGGCCAGCTTTCTCTGCAAGGCCCTCAGGGCTGTCTGAAAGCCAGCTTTGTGGAACAGTTATGTCCAGACATGGAAAAGAATTGAATTCCTCTCGTAACCCCATCGTGAAGCTCCTTAGACTATTCTCTTGTGATAAAAAGTCCCAGACGTAGCTGACGTTTCCCCAGCTCCCAGCTTCTGCTCTGGGAGTTGCGTGGGTGGTCAGGGACCACCTCTCTAAGGCCTGTCTCCCCCATAGGACCTGAGTGGCCCAGGATTTAAGGGAATTCTGAACAAAAAGAAATGCTGGGGAAACCGGTAAGTGGCCAGGTCCGATCTGCCTAGAACTCAGGTCAACAGCTAGGGTGGGGAAGCGCGGCAGACTTTTTGCGAAGGGCTCACTCGTCTCTGCCTGAGGCTGGAGCCCTGATATTCCATGGGCTCTTCATGGTTGATGATATTCACGTTCCCATCGGATGCCAAAGGAGCAGAGCTGCCAGTCCTCCCGCTTTAGGAAACGCCCGCAGAGTGTGCAGACGTGCATCTGCGTCTTCCTGGCTGTCTGGCCCTGCTCTGCTCCGTCCCGCACACAACACACACGTGGTACAGCACGCGGCATGGCATACAGCACGCTGTGCCCGCCTCTCCCCTCGCCTGGAAGTTCGGATCCTCTCCCTAAGCCTCTGCGGCCTGGCCTCCCCCGGGCCCCGCCCCGCGCAGAGCCTGTCTGCCGGGCCCCTCTTTCCTTTCCCCAGACTCTGCCCTCCAGCTGATCAGACTTGCTCCAACCTCAGTCACTAAATCTTGCCTTGAAAGAACTTCTGTTGGGCGTCCCTAAAATATAGGCGCCTGGGTGAGAACAGTGGCCAGTGCTGTACCGTTAGAGATGGAACAGAGGAAACAGTGTTAGCTCAGGAGCCGCTGGGGCAGCTGCAGAGGCTTCCAGGTGCCTCTGAGAGCCCGGACCCCAGCACCGCGCTTGGCACGCAGGAGCCCTGTGTACACACATCTGAGGGAGACTGAATGTTCTCAGGCTCCCGTCTGGCCCTGGGTCCCTGAAACATCCAGTGGTGCCTCTCTCCCTGTTCCAGGGACTCCCTGGATTCTACTCATGACCTGGAATCCAGGCTTGGGGCTTCCTGAGGCCACCGCTAGACCACCGGCCTTGGCCCCGTCCCAGAGGGCTCCGGGACTCCTGGCCGCCCAATGACCAGGGCCCACACCCCACAGTGAGTGGCGGCCGCCCCTGCAGGCCTCCATTCCTGTCTGCGAGGGTGACTAACCACCCTGCACCCGGATTTAGTCGGACAGTAGACACGGATACGGTGTGAAGGGACGACATCACTGTTCCTG